TCGGACAAGCAACAGCACGTAACACATTGATAAAACTATTACTTCAAAATTTGGTAACGGATAAACATACCTGTTGGCGCTAAATTGAGCCCTTTATACAAAATCAGTTTGCTGCCGCCGAAGTTTGAACAACATTGCAGTGCTATGCAAAATAATGAAACCCACGCACATATACACAAAGCTGGCCTGAATTCCTAGTTTACGGAAGTTCAATAAAGTTCAATACAAGGAGAGATAAGTTATACTAAGCCAGCACGAAACACATCCATCTGCGCTTCTCATATCACTACAGATCAGACTGCACCATGCTCTTCAAAAAACATCATAAGCGCACGACAAATAGACGCTCAATACAGGCTGCTGTGCGAACCAAAGAGAGCCATCAAAGCTTCAGAAGTTCCGACACGTCTCAACAATCATACAAACACGGGATTACATTGATAAATTTGGACACCACTCAGAACAGTATTGCCGCATCAGGTGCCGTGGGAGCCGACCGCACAAGTACTGTATCGATTCGTCGATCGCCCACGCCCGGCCGCTGTCGAAGGGACGTCCGCTCCGTGCCGTCAGACAGAGCGCTGCGCAGTTGGGCTAGCGCTGCACGCGGCACACCGAGACGCCCACCGCGCTACCGGTGTGGCCGCGCACTACGCCCTTGTGTCCCACAACAACCTCCCAGCCGCTGTAACACGCACACATACACAAAGTACGCTGAAACAAAGCCTCGTGAAGCGGTGGCTGGCGCGCAGTGTCCGACAGGCATGCAGGCCACAGACCGGCTCTATTGCCTCGCTCAGACTGAGCGACAGCAGGTCTTTACTCGGATTCACGCTGCTGACTTTCAAGGTCGCGCTCGGGCGCCGCAGACACAGCAATCGACTGGAATTGGCGACCCCGGGTATCGGCGACGCGTGCGGCCCACATAGACATCGAGCGCCCCCACCGCAGGAGAGGGGCGGCGCGCGGCGGGTTAAATGCCCTGCGGTGACGGAAACGGTGCGGTGCATACTATCACTCCCTGTATATATCATATTACTGAGAAGCCAGCAGTTAACATTAACTCGCTAGTCAGGCGGAGAATGTGCAGGGACAGGTACTGTGCCCATTAAGTTTGCGCGCGGAACGCAAATATGTACCTATAACAATTCACGTACACATTGGCGGACTGTAATGCACGACTGAGGGCCAACATTAACGACCAATAAGCCAACTGATACGGGCGCTACACCACGACATCCACGGGAACGTCTAGATACCGGGTAAGCGCTGTGAGCTATCTACGACTGGCCGCGGGCGGCGGCCTTACCTGCTGGTCTCGGGCGAGCCGGGCGGGCGGGCGCGCCGTCTAGCGTGGCCGGCCCGGGATGGGCGGCGGTCCTCCGACGCGGGTGGGCTGCAGCGGCGGCGGCAGGCCCTGGCGGCCGCCGGGTCGAGACGGGATGGCCGGCGCCGGCCGCCCGGTCACCGGGGCCGGCCGCGCGGCCGTGGGTGGTGGCGCGCGCCGCGTGGCCGACCCGACACCACCTCCACCGCTGCCGCTGCTGCTGGTCGAATTGGCCCAGTCGATGTTGACGGCGGCGGAGGCGGGCGCCGCAGAGCACGCCAGCTGCGCGTTGCTGATGATGCGCAGCGCCTCCTTGCAGGCGTGGTACATGCGCAGCATCTCCTCCCGCTTGGCGGCCTCCTCCGCCGACTCCTCCATCATGCTGGCCTGGTCGCCGCTGGCGTACAGGTGCGCCAGCAGCTCGCCCATGATGAACGTCTTGCACTGGTTGATCATCATGTGCATGATGGTCTTGGGCACCAGGTCGCGGGTCGTCTTGGTGACGATACGCATGTAACTATCGACCAGGTTACGGATCGTCTCCACTTGTCGCTCAAGTGCCGGGTCGAGCGAGGTGGCCTGGTCATCGCTGCCGCTGGACTCGCCGTTGGCTGCCGACGCCTTCTCTGGGTAGACGCCGGCGCGCAGGAACGACGCCTTCCACGAGTCCAGCTCCTCGGAGGTCTCCGTGCTCAGCTCCAGCTGCTTGTGGTCCTTGTAGACGTTGCGGCCGTCGGGCGAGAAGAGAGCGAACGCTGAGCGGCGCGACATGAACCCACCCTCGACATCACGCAGCTTCAGGTTGTCCAGCGGCAACATGTACTTTTTGTCACGCTCCTCCTCGTCCTTGAACCAGCTGAGGCTCTCAGACGTCAGCACGAACCAGTAGTCGCGCGAGCCGCCGCGCATGATGCCCAGGTTACTGATGCACAGCCAGCCTTTGCGGATCACCTGGTTGCCCAGCTTGCGGCCGGTCTTGTTGGCATTCTCCGTCTGAGACTGGGCGTTGGCGAAACCGATGAAGTCCTCGTGGTTGGTGTTCATGTAGGCAAGCTCACAGTCTATGAGCAGGATGAGCTGCCGCTTCAGCTCAGACTCTCGCTCGCGAATAAAGGTGCAGATGATGCGCTCGGCCTCATCGCGCAGGCGCGGGTAGCGCGCCATCTTGTCTGTGCACGAGCGCACCACGTTCGTGAGCTCCTGCACCACCAGATCGACGCACTTGAGGCTGGGCTCCTTCAGCCGCTCGATCTGCTTCTTGACGATGGCGTCGAAGGCCATGTCGGGCGTGAAGAGACCGACGCGGATGCCGTGGATGTTCTGGATCGCGAAAGCGATCTCCTTGCGCAGCTCTTTCTCGTCGAACTCCATCTTCACGATCTCGAACGGGAAACGCTCGTGGAAGAGCCGGTTGATCTTGGCGCCGCCCGACAGCTCAGCCGTGTTGATGCGACCGTCGCCTTTTCCGGAGCCTTCGATGGAGCGGTCAAAGTCCGCCTGCAGCTGCTGGATCATCTGCAGCATCGCCTTCGTCTTGATGCTGGGATCGTCCGGTCGGAAGTGCTTGTACTCCTCCACTTCCTTCTCCATGCTCAGGAGCTGCTTCTGCAGCTTGTCCCTGAGGGATGGCAGCGTCTCTCTGATGTGGTTTGACAGCTGCTGGTTCAGCACTCTCTGCAAATAGGGAGTGCCCATACGATCTGCCATTGATCTGTAGGCTGGGTGGCTCAAGAAGAACTTTCTCTCTGCTGCAATGGCTGCCTTGATGTCCTTACGACCTTCAATGTCTCTCTGGCTGCGGTTTACCACACCAACATACCCTCGCCTCAGTGGGAGAGTCCGGTTCTCCAGAATATCCTTGGCATCAGTTCCATCATCCATCAGGTCAAGTTTGGTTATGACACCAATGGTTCGCATTCCATCTGGGTCCACCTCACGTGCCAGCTTCAGGGCATCACTGATTGCAAGATCCTGGTTGGCTGGAGTGACAGCAAGCACAAGGCAGTTGGGCTTTGTGATGAACTGCATGATCATGTTCCTGATTTGCTCCTCAATGTCTTTTGGCTGGTCACCCACGGGCACTCTGGTCATGCCTGGCAGATCTATCAATGTCAAGTTTAGGACATGAGGCGAGAACACTCTCAGATTGATAGGGACACTACTGATTCCCTTGTTGCTGCCAGTGACTCGGTCTGTCTCGGCCTCTATCTCCCTTCTGATATCATCAAAATTTGGGAACTGCTGGCCTTTGAGATGCAAGAACTCTCCGTACTCAACAGGGTGGTTGATGAGCTGGAGCACCAGGGGTCGCCTTGTCACAATGCCTGAGCCACGAGGGAGAAAATCTTGACCAACAAAGTTCTCCAGCACAGATGACTTTCCTGCACTTTGGCCACCAACTACTGCTATTTGTGGCAAATCCAGCTGCATACTAACACCCATTTGAGAGAATGCATCTTGTAGCTGATTTACAATGCCAATCAGGCTTTCCATTCCACTATTTCCAGCCATGTTGATGTTCTCTTCTTGTGCAGCTGATCTTAGACTGACAAAGACAACTTACAAGTAAGAACTTATCTGTCAGTGAGAATATCTGAGATCTTCGAAAATATATATCAAATTCGAACAAAGAGTTCTTCCTCCACCGTCCCAGCGATGCAAAAATATCATTTAATACAGTCACCTGCTGTAACTTACTTGAAGTCGGGCTTCACCCCAAGAAGTCAGCCAACAACTTATTCCACTAGAAAAACGCCAAGTGTTCGTTGATTATTAATATGTCAGGCCTTCAGTTCTTAAAAACAGCCTTGACACACGTGAGCGCTCTAATAATCACTCGTTTTTCTTCATTTTAATTGAATGACCAACACACCCACTCGCCTCCGCGCCGCTCGACGTCGCTCAACACACTATCAAGGATTAGGAAATTATCGGCATCTAACAATACAATGGTTCCACAGAATTGGTGACGTCATCTGGACGGGCGGGGAATCACGGATGACTCAAAATCGCCAGCGAAACCTCAGCGGAAGAAGCACTTCGCCTACCGGCTACCATTTTCATATTACAACACAGACGCACGCCACGGATGATCGTAATTAGCGTGAAGGCTGGGCGTACGAATGGTAGTGATCAATCAACACATCTTTTTAGCGAGCTCGGATTACGACAAAGTAGCGGGAGCCGGGAGGGGGATCGACGCTGCAGCACCAGCAGTACCTCCCTACTTCAGTGCTCGCCTCAGTATGGATAAGTATGATGATGATCACCACATGATCACGACCTGAATGGGCCTTGTATGCCTCCACGCCTCCATACGAAGCCAGTTCAAGCTGATCGTTCTGACCCCACGTTCTAAAACTCGATGCCGTAGACCGATAGCGAAGGTTGAACTAGAATCTGTATCAACATTTGAGGAGTCACTGAGGTTTGCGTATTTGTCACTCCCCTAAAGAGGAATTATGGCTACCCAGAGGTGGTGAATGCTCCGTGCTCGTCCGAATGCGATGGCCACTGAATTAGGCTGTCCCTCTGCTCGAATGATGCTCGCGAGTCGCACCTTCGGTTTCAAAACCACGCATGCACGCTGCGGAGCAGTCAAAAACAACAAAGGGCAACTCTCGAAACGCCAAACAGGCAGAAACCAAATATTTGAAAAGTGAAACACAAATTGGTTGTTGAGAAAACATATGCATTTTGTATTTGGTAACGTCAAAAGCCGCAAACAATAAATGTTTACTTGCAAACACAAAACCAATGACACCGCTCAAGGTCACCCTCTACATAGGCAAAATAAAAAATGCTGCTTCATTCATCCAGCGCGACCAAGGTAAGCTATCCTTCACCCTAATCAGTTTCAAAGCATGGCTCCTCGGCACCACGGAACCTTATTCAAAAAACGATATTTGCCAGAAACGTAAATCAGCCAACTCCGGCTCACAAGCGGGCACCATGACAATTGACCAAGCTCTTATCAGAGCCATCACAAAACACCTTCAACATCCCTTCTCCAAAAGGCCGAAATTATCACATCATAGTCAGGCCACCACATCATGAGGCAAAATTCATATTTTAACATGCTCATCTCATCTTCTGTTATTTGCCTCCGATATCAAATGACACAACTCTTCTTTTTTTTCTGAAAAGAGCCAGCTTGGTCTCCATAAATACTCGAACCCCAAAAACTTGCTCGCATTCATCAGTTTACTAACGATAACAATCTTACGGCATAAAAGGCACTACGCTTATTACGATCAAACATGTTTAGGTTCACATAGCAAACGTCGCTTTCTCTGACGCTCCCACAACCAAGCTCACAGACTGCGAATCAAATCGCCGAAATAAAACGAAAAATACGGTCGCTTCCGTGAAAACTTAGCTGCACTAACCATATGAATTAACACCAATACATTGTGTCAAAATTGGAAATACTTATGAATCATCCAGTACATGATCATCGATAGGGAATAGAAAAGCTACTCGGAGAATGGAAGTGGCAGTCACGAAAGGAGCTGACACTGCTGAACGAAATCAACGCAAAGTCCTGAGTGGCAGACGAACACGATATAGCGAATATAAGCTCGCTGTCAACATGCTACATCTCCATACAGCTGTTCTACTGCTATGGGACCTGATCCTTGTTATGTTTATAACACGCACAGTCACAAAGGACAAACTACTGTGAGATGATTAGTAAACAACGACGCTAACAAACCATATCAGAACACTATCACTGATCAGGTAGTCTGTCAAGTGACATTACAAGTTACACGTACACTTACAAGTTACAAATGGTTGAAACCAAGCACCGAACGGAAGCTTAGTACAGTGTAAGCTGTTCGTTGAATCCATCCTACCAAGCCCAGGCCTGCACCTCTGGTATCGACCGGTGTTTCTTCCACTAACTACGTGCAAATGGTCATACACTTGACGTGCAAAGGCCAAACACATAAGCCTTTTAGACGACCCATGCGGACGAATCCGTAACAACTTCATGCGAAAGTGTACATTTTTGCATTCAATAGCTATAATTGAACAGTTTGCCGCACCTCCACACACCGAACGACAAGTAAGCCAAGAAATGCTTGCAATTTCGCAGCTGACACGTTCTTAGTAGTGACGATAACTGCAGAAAGCCTTTAATTTCGCATCTTTAACATATGATTCAATTTCAACCGTTGAAGCTCCGTTGAGGCAGGAATTTAGCTTCTTCGTCGGAGAATGGAGTAATGTTGTCGTTAGCAAGTTGAGCCGAATATTGCTGTACCTCTCTCTGCACATCACTGTAATACACAATGTGGTGCCAGGCTCCACGACCTTTCGCCTCCTCGCACACCGCTTCTTGGAGACCGAACTCCTGCCAAAAACACTGTTCGACAAAACACTGTTCAACAACCGCGGCCCATCGGCAAGGACCTGGCGTCCGCTAGCCAGACAATGAAATCGCCGTCAACCAGCGAACACTACCAAAGACAGGCGGGGACAGCCTGCGGACACGGCAGGGCCCGTCTGGCGCCCCCTAGACCGGCTGCAGCGGCTCAGAGTTGTTGACGGTGTTTTGTCTGGAGACGGGCGCGATGTCGGCAGCGGCGCACCGCCTCTTGAACATGCCAGAGACGAATACAGCCTGTGGACGGCAGCGGGCCGGTCAGACGGCCACTGGACGACTCACGGGGACAAGTCAGACGGACGGACGGGGATGTGGTGACAACTGGTCGTGATGCCAGGAAGTGGAAGAATACATACAGGCAGCAGGACCGCAACCTAGTTTACCGGGTCCCTTTGCAGTTTTATCATATATAATCATCATGCCACATGGCTATAAACGTCAATTAATGTAAAATCAATAGCTGGAACCAAATCGCTCAGAATTTCCACTCTAAAACTATGTAGCGCAAAGACCATTATGTACGGACGCCCCAAATTCAAATGAAAACGAGTCAGCAAGGTCCGGGGAAGATTGTTTGCCAAGCTGCCCGACTAACAAAGTGCTGGTTCCAAAGAGAGTCACCGAGGGGCGCCACATGCCCACAAGTGAGGGCTCTGGACCCACCCGTCCTGTAAGAAAAGAGAGAATTACGCTTATCCAAAGACCCGTTATGATTAAACGTCTGGAACAAAGTGACTAAAAGGGCATCAGCATCGTAAGAAGCTACAAAACCAATAAAGCAAGCCCAACAACATTAAGCCTGTGACAATGACAAAGCATTTTGGCCGGAGAACTGTCGCCAGTTCAGGTCCTAATAGGTATAAGAAACAATATTTTCCTCTCCCGCACCAGCCCTTGCTCGCTCCCTCTCGCCACTACCAAACACGGCTCTGCGGCTAGTCCGAGCACGGCCGCGGGGACGTACCACGAGCACTGCCACGATGGCGCCGAGCACGGCTCCGGCCAGCACGTCAGTCGGGTGGTGCTTGTAGTCGGAGACGCGGCTGAGAGCCGTGTACCAGCACAGCATCAGGCAGACGAACTGCAGGAACGGCCGCAACAGCTTGGTGGCGCGCCACGTCAGCCGCGCCTGCAGGTATAGCTGGAGAGGGAAGGAGAGACGCGGTCAGATTACTATACAGGCACAGCTGAGAGATGGAGTGGTCAGATGGTGTTCTAGGTACAGCTGAGGGGGAGGGGCTCAGGTGATCTTGAAGGTACAGCTGAGAGTGGTGGGGGTGGGTCAGATGATCCTATTCGCATAGCTAAGAGGGGAGGGGAGCGGTTAGTCAGACGACCACGCACGCTGCAGGTACATCTAGAAAGGGAAGTGGAGCGCGGAGTCAGATGACCCTACAGGTGCAACTAGAAGCGGAAGGGGGAGCGAGGGATCATTGCTTTTGCAAGTAAAAACTGGTAAGCGGAAGGGACGGGACGGAAGTGCATGTTTTTTTCTGAGAGGGAAGAGATCAAAGTCAGACGGTTGTGCAAGGTAACGGTAACAGATCGCTTGCATATTCTGCACCAGATCATGGCTCCTGACACTGACTATGACCGTGACGGTCATGGTGTTACAGATGGTAATGGTACGGCATGACGGTCACGGTGTAACGAATGGTGAGCGGGATAGCAGAAACCTTCAACAGAACTTAATGTGTCAGGACATGTGTAGAACAGGCGCCAGTCGGTGTCAGCTCGTGTGAATGGTTGGCGTTTGGTCGTGTGTCGTGGAGATGTTGTGACCACTTACCGCCAGGTACACCATCGTGTAGAAGGAGAACGAGGCGTGGCCGGACGGGAACGATAGCCTGAAACACAAAGACAGCGCAACCAAGGTCAGAAATGAATATAAGGATGCTATGGGGAACAACAAAACAGCAAAATAGACAATTAAACTAGGATATTTATCGTCATATACAATAGACCGTCACAGTGTCATAATACAGCCTGGCGCACGTCAACCATGTATGTGTCATGCCTCATAGGTACGTCATACGTCATACATCAAGACGTGCCCGCAAACCATGCAAGTTAGCGTAAAAGGCGGGGAACAGAAATCAAATATTGTTATTTTTTACTTTTCACGAGAAGAAGCAGTTCATCTCCCCCAAATTCATTAACATTTCACATCTGCTATATGAAGAATCATTGACGTTTTCCTCGAACGAATAAGATCAAGGTCAAAAGTTATATTAGAGACGGTGAACTTTCGGCTACAACTTACAAGCTTTTGTCAAACCAACAAAATGGCACGATATAAAATTCAAGTCAACATGAATTTTGTATCGTGCATCATGTCAGCATAAATTTTGTGGCGCGACATTTTGTTGGTTTGATAAAATCTTGTAGCCAAAAGCTCACCGTATGAAATATAATTTTTGGCCTTTATTTAATTTCTTCGAGTAAAAGGTCAACGATTCTTCACATATCTATACTCGCTAGTCGCTATGTTCCTCGCAAAAGCACTTGACACCATTAACAATGCACTATAGCTCTTGCCTAGCTCCATCCTTCTCCGATCTACTCCCTCCTTGATGACCTCCGTCCTCCATCCCTCACCCTCCCCCTCCATACCCCGTCCGTACCTCGCCTCCCTGATGGCCTTTTCGTCTGGGCCCAGACATTTGAAGTTCGTGATGTAAGTGTGATCGGTGCAGCTGCCGTTCTCCAGCACGTCCGGCCTGCACACGGCGATAAAGTGGGGACGCAGACGGCCGATCGAGTATTTACCTGCGGAGCGGGACCACCGCGGTCTGAACAAGTGGTCTGAACACTGCAGCACGCTTAAACCCGCGCCCCGTAGGGGGGGGGGGGCGAAACGGCCCCCCTGTCCCTCGATATCTCCTAAACGGCTGGAGATATCGCCACCAAACTTTCAGGACCCCTCCGGGCATCAATTTTACACATTGTGACCAAACATTTTTCCAGAGGCTATGATAAGTTGGCCACAAATGACGTCAGAATGACGTCATGTTCTGCCATTTTCGACCGAAAAAGACCTTCGCGAGAAGAGCTGTCAGGCCTACAGCTTCGAAGATACAGACAAATGATCTAGACATAAAAGGTGTAGAATTGACAAGGCTACAAAACTGCTATCTCGGATTTTTGAAATTTTCGAGTTTTAACCCCCAAAAATCAAAAATGCAATTTTTTGGATATATTAGCCAAAAAATCCAGATAGTTTTTTTGAGTTTCGAAAAAAACGGAATATATGTGATAGAACCTACCGTCATCTATCTACATCCAAATTTCAGATCGATATCTCGATTTTTGGCCAAGTTATAGCGAAAACACTGTGCAAAAATGATGACGTCAAATTTTCAAACTCAATTTTTGGCAATTCTAGACCAAGTAGAGCAAAACAAAGACCACCATTGGACTCCCCGTGACGAGCTGCATCGAATGGATACCCATTTTATGCAAAAACATCAAATTTGAAATTTGACCTAAGTTGACCTGACCTTGACTTGACCTTGACCAAAATGTGACCTTAGCTGGCTCCAAAGGCTGTCTGACCCACATAATCGCATTTGTCATGTAAAATGGACCATAAAACATGTATCACACGACACTTTCATATTGTGACCCCCGGTGACCTGACCTCGCTGTGACCTGACCTGGTATCAGTGACCTCAGATAGCAGAGTATATGTTTGACGAACAATGTGCCATCGATGGTTTTCAATAACTTCCCAATTTACTCGATTTCACAACACATTTCTTGAAATGCCTGTGAACGGTGAAAATCTGACCTTTGACCTGACCTGTGACGTCATCGGTTTGACCTAGGTCAATGAAATTTGGTCACAAGGTAGTTCCCTGGTGGGGCTATCGATCGCCGTTTTAATTTTGAAAATCGGCCGGTAAATGTCCGAGATCTTAGGGGGGGGCCGAAACGGCCCCCCCCCCCCCCCCCTACGGGTGGTGGGGTCCGCCGGTAGCCCTACGGGGCGCGGGTTAATAGAGTGAATACATACTAACACGCAGGTAAACCTACAGACTGTCAAGGAGCATTGTAATATGACTATGTAATATGAACAGTGTAATAAACATTATATAAACAAGACAGCGCTGTAAGGATGTTACGCGACATGAACAAACGAACAAACGACAAACCGATGTATCGGTTGCTCGTTTGCAGCACTTGTTTACATTTATCGTGATGCATGGAATGACAACTGAGCCAGTAATCTGTAAAACTTGCAAAAAATAACGCACATATTTATGAGATGCTGTTGTTCAGTTGATGAGATCCCGATAATAATAACGCTCAAAGCAGTGTTGCACCATATAAATCTTAATGACATATACAATGCAGGGGCATTTGATTAGCTGATACATCAAGCAGTAGCTGGAGCCCAAACGAATTCACAAGTCTCCGTTTTCGAAACGGTAGGCAAGTTCCTGTTACTTTGATCTGATCATAGAGGTACTTGGTACAACAATAGGTGCCTGTTCTGTGTCCTTCGATTATCCAGAGTTCATGAGTCCAAAGACCCACATAGGTAATCATTCGGTTTCATTCACCGTCACTGACTCCGAACCTATCTCAGCTAACAAAGGGGGGGGGGCGCCCGGGGAGCCGAAGGTGGCTGACCCTCACCCGGGACTCCGGCTGACCGGGTGACGTCACATATATCGAGTGACGTCACACCATGACCAACACAACTAGCAGGCCATGGGTGGGTGGTTTGACGTCACGGGCGAGAGAGGCGGGCGGCCCGGAGCCAGGAAGCGTCGTTTGGCACCGGGGCTGGGTAATGTGGCCAGCCGAGACAGAATAGAATAGTCGCGGCCCAGAGACCATCGGTGCCCGCAGTGCACCGAGCCAGCCATCTGTGATTACAGATTATCGGCAGTCGGTTTCCAAGGCGCAAATATAATACCATACATTATACTAACGAAACAAAACTAGGGCATGGTTCAAAGCCATTTATATAAAAATAGTTCAAGTCACAAATCACATAGCCAATCGAGCCTCAGACTCCGCAACATCCAGAGAAAAGAGATAAGACCGCAAATTTAGTCATTCGAAGAGCAGCTCACCACATTCCCACGGCTGTTATTCGACTACACGGCTGTTGTTTCGGGGCTAACCGCTGTTCGTTTGGTCTCACCTATGTCGGTGGCGAGCTGGGAGCAGGCGGCGCCGAACGCGAACACGCCCACCATTTGGTAGATGGCCCAGAACCACGGGTGCACCTTCAGTCGGCACACCTCCATCGTCTTCTGGCGGTGGCAGTGCTTGCAGTGGAAGTACTCCACTATCGACATCTGCACAACAGTCATGGCACACTTGTTAGTTTTGTGCCACGGTACTGCGACCATGGAGACAGTCGTATGATGCATTTTTACCGTGAATAAATGACAAGTTGCCTTACTGTCTCTACGTAAATAAAAAACAGCGTGATATGCAATGTTTGTACACATGGAAATAAATAAACACAATATAATGCAAAATTTAAAAAGCGTTTACTCGCTCTGACACAGCTACGGCGAATAAATACTCGCATACCACTCTAAAAACAAGAGAGCGCAACAGTAATTCGCCAAATTCAAGCACCAGCTAACAAGGTAAGCAACTGGAGACAGTGAAATAAAGATAAGACACAGTGAAATAAAGAGCACCTTCTGCCACAATGAAGAAGTTCATGCGCCAACCACACGACAAACATGGAAGCTAAAAGTTCATGCAAGATGTGTCTATCAGTAGATGTTAGTAATCAGGACAGAGCGCATGCGAAGATGATCTCTTCACCATCACCCATTCAACTAAGTGGCATTTGTTTCATTCTATCTGTATCGGTACAATATGCCCTCAGCCTGGTCTGCCAGGCTCGATCAATAGAGCCCGGTCTGACCCGGTTCCGAAACAGCAACGACCTCGCGTCAATATCCGAGAGAGCACGCTCAGACATAGCCGGCAGAACGTCCAGCCAAAGGCACCTCTGCAGACTGCGAGCGTTTGCTTATGGAATGGATTACCCTTAAATACACTCATGTTAGGTGTCATCTACTATGGGAGCCTGTGTGTATGAAATTCGTCCATCCAAAGTCCATCATCCGCACTGCGACGGACAACTAAGCTTACACAATACCCATAAGTTGACTGCAGGGAGCGGAAGGTTTACTTATACTACTAGGAAACCCCGGCATTTACAACGCTGCAAGTTGAACCTTTGATAGGCGAGTGAAGTCTTGCTAACCACCAGAAGGCCAGATAATGGGCCTTAGCCAATCAATCCGCCGGAACAACTGCAAGGCTCGATTGCAACGGTGTCTGTGCTCCCGAGGCCTGAGCAGTCGCTCCAGCTTGTATGGGTTTCAATCCTCATGTGGACTGCTAACAGACCCTTACAAAGCCCTGCAGATTCCATCGCGTACGAATGTTTGCTATAGGAAAAAGTTTGTGGGGAGGTACAACGAGCTTCTCTGAAGGTTCGAGGGAGCGCAGTAGTCGCAAACACCACCGCCGCTGCAAGTCACGCATGACTTCTGCAATCGTCTGTCGTTGGGCAGCGTACGCTCGGAGACGGTTATCTTCATTGAGCTGATGTCACGCCAAAGATCAGGGCCACAAGCCGTCTGCAGAGGCGAGAGAGCCTCGACCCAGCCCACGTAGACCACAAAGCGGAGCCGTGGGTGAATGTGAAAATGGTAAGAGGAGACTGATTCTAACACCCCAGCCGCACCATGGCCCCATCTCAGATTTCCGTAGCGGTAGTAATTGGATTACAGGAATGATATCAGTGTATACTCGCTGCTCAGTAGAATGTGACATGCAATGCGGCTGTGCGTCACTCCTGGGCACTGCTCGATATCTCGCGACAATTGCAATACCGCTGCAGAGCGATTGATACCGGCACCCGGAAAGTACTCAATCCGCGGTTCTGAAGGCAACCACATGTGAGCGGTTTCTCGCAAGATTAGATAGCACAGCATGTGCAACGAGCAACCTAACAATAGAACCAGCTGTGCGGACCGCGATGTCCTACATCTTTTCGAGAGTAGCTGTGACGTCACGAAGATGAATCACGAATATACAAACGTCACACGGACCAACACGGTAGAGTTGCAAAGTTTCCCTACCGCACTACCGGCATGCCGGTAATTTTTCACTACCGCAGGTTTTTTCGTGGTATCTGGCATGTCTTGCCGGTAGCATGCCGGTATTTTTGGTTTTGCACAAAAAATTATTAGCATATATTCAAACTTTGGACACTAAGAGGTTATCAAATTGTAAGAACAACAATCTTAGCCATTGCAAAATACATTTTGTGATAGAGTGGCTGCTGGGTGGGATGGGTACCTACTGAAATTGCCAAAATGTGGCATCTCTTGTAGGGGTAAGCTAGAATCAACAATGCAGGTTTTTTAGCATGCCGGTAATTTGGTGGTGTTTTTGCTTGGGGCGTGGTAGCATGCCGGTATCCCAGAAAATTTTTGTGGGGCGGGGCGGTGCCGGTAGCAGCCTTTGGGGGAAACATTGCAACTCTACAACACGGCCTATTAGGTCGTAAACCATTATATCGCGACCGGAGAATGATTCACCGTCCGTACTTGGTATGCACCGCTGACACTTGATCGCTACGTGACGTCAGTGAATGCGGCCATGACGTCATAAAAACAGTCACCGGCCGGATTCCATTAGCGGCACGATGGTAGGCGGACGAGCGTAACATGTTTCTGGCCCGGTCACCAGTTCGGTAGTTACCCCGGGTCCACCGGCGCACGAGACTGTGTGTCACACGCGGGACCTGACTTAGAGGGATGTGGGTAGCCCGAGGCGCCGAGGAGATAGACGACCCTCTCGTGCAGCTCGACAGGAGCTCGGAGAGGAGAGGGTGGTAGGGGACGGACGGGGTCGCGGGACTGTCCCGTAAAGCCCCGGACACAAACCTCTTACATGGATCTCCTTTCGAATTAATAACACTCATTCTTCTCGTTCACCTTGAGTGAGTCGTGTTCACATTACATGCCAAGTTTAAGTGCTAAATGCACACGTTCAATATAATTAAAGTCGGTATCACCGTGCTCTAAAATGGTCCCCATGCCAAGTATGTTCGGTGAAATCATGCTTCCAATAAATACGCACACCAAGTACAAAGAACGTCGACCCACGCACGGCGTAGGTTAAAGTGGCACAAACAGCAAGACAGCAACCAACCGATATTGCTCCGAATTTGTATTTCAGCTGACACAAGTATAATAATACGGAACAATCATTTTTTGATCTGTGTTATGCATTATAATTGCTCCAAAATTTGAACACAATTTCAATACGGAACAGTGTTCATTTGGTTTCAAGATGTCGAACCTCAGTGAAGCTATGGGGGATCATGTCTGTATACCTTAACTGAGACAGCGAGGCACAGTGCTCAGCGCACACTGCATCACATAGCAACACGGCTATGAACTGTACAGTAACCCAATATGAGCAGTTTAGATCAATTAAAAGAAAGTTCACATCAAACAATAGCGAAGAACGACAACATAAAACAAATCGACTGAGTAAGAAGATAAATGAATAATTTTGATGATTTTGATGATTCTTTTTAATGATCTAATTTTGATGATTTCAGTGTTTCTTTGAGTTTGAACCACATATAAGCACATCAATCTTTTCTCGCCGACTTCATTTACTATCCCCTGTGCAAACTACAACTGATCCAAGCATGCAATGCACATAAACAAACCGGACGTCGTGGCAATTCCGGCGGGTTGTATACATGTCAACTATGTTACCAGGAGACTGTGTGAGCTAACAAATCCGCCGTGAGCGAATTCCAAGACCCATGACCCAAGCAGGTCCAGCGTAACGCAGGTCAGGACATCTGTCAGTCGCTGGGCGGACGCAGTTCGTCACATCATCACGCCTGTGCATTTGTGCGGTGAAAAGCCGGTGGCTGGTGGAATCTTGGGTGGAATCCGTCACCGCAGACTATGCACAGAAGCGGGTGTCGCACTCCAAGGACTGCGGTGTTGTGAAGCAGACAGGCCGGATGTGGCCAAGCTGAGGGGCTAAGCAGATGCGGACCCTCCACTCTTCTCGGCCGAAGCAGGACTGACAGAACTAACGACTAATAGAGTGAGAAACATGTTAGGTAGATGCAAAACTATTGGTAGATTTATGAGCAGAAAATTAAGAAAAATATCACCAAGCAGGTGTAAAAATAGGACATAAAGATAGAAGAATATAATTAGTAGAACAAGATTGAAGACAATTATAAAAAATGTCGCAAGACAGTCAGGAATCAGTATTGAAGCGGAGAATGTTCATCGGAATCTTTTGCTGGGTACTGGACGGGTTAGACAGATGGCCAAAAGATGCCACGTGAAGAATGACGAACCGCGTCGGGCCGCAGTCAGAGACCGACAGCGGCCGGCGACAAAAGCTACTGCGACTGGGCGGGCGGGCGGACGGACGGTACGGGACCCTGGGCCTGCGGCCGCCGCCGCCACTTACCATGATCACAGTGAGCGTCACAGCCACGGCGTAACAGGCCAGGTTCGTGATCGTGTCCGGTTTCAGCGGAAACCTAATGGACTCGTCGTCACAGAAAAAGCCCCGCTCGAACGGCTGGCCAACGGTGAAGAAGACCAGCAGCGGCACGGCCACTGCAATGGAGGACAGGGAGGCTGTGGGCGCGGGCGGACCACGCCGGAGGGTGGGCACAGCTCGCACGGCGGCTGTGGAGGTCTGCATGGTGCGCGACTGGTCCCTGGACGCTCCGGAGGCGGACAGGCACCTCCTGGCTCCTAGAAATGGTCGAGGCCACGCAAAGTGCGCAAGTAGCAAGAATACAGCGCGACGCGGTGATGGCATGTGCTATGAGGTGGTAAAGGCAACTTTACATTAGGCTTGCACACTGCACAGTAGCACAAGCCCTTCAATACGACTGACACTTTCCCTAAGAGCACCGCACTTCCAAAACTGTTGTGCGGAATAACTTGGATAAACTGATCATAACCGTAAAATTAATATATCATCATGTTCGCCAACACATGTGCATCGTGGGCCTCCGTAAGCACGTATAAATGTATGTTTCCGTTTCCCAATCCACAAGCATCTACCAGCATACCTACTAGTATTAAAGGTAGTGTGCCACCTTTGAAAGATTTCCCATTTTATTTTTCCTAGGATAAGAAGCTTCTGTTTTTACCTAATATCGCAAACAAAATCAAAAAATGGGCCTGGAATAGTGCCTTTTTCGCCTAAAAGTTTATCGGTTTTTAGATATGTATAACAACTGTAGTGGGCTCACCTGCAAACAGGCGTCGGGCAACAATCGCGAATGCGGCGCACTTGTGACAATAAGCAAAGGTCATTATAGTGTTACGACCATACGACGTACGGGAATGATTTATCAGCTGTCTAATCGTAGACAACACAATGTCGAGCCTTAAACTGTAAGCCCGTTTTGGTATTGTTTCTTTTATTTGGCTGTCGAACATTATTTATGGTTTGAAATATGATTTTATGTAAAATAATTGATATGATAAAGCCGTCTTATAAGTTATGACCCCATTTCACCACACGCAAGTGGCAGAAATGACAATGATCAGCTGACGCATTTTTCTTGGCCGAAGTCAGAGCGCGCAGCCCGACGCACCACCACCGCACCACAAAGTATGAGCAGAAGCCGCGCCCAAAGCCAGGGCCCCGGTAACGTGAGGTAGCCGAGTCGGCGGCCCCGGGCTATCACATGACACCGGGAGGACGCGCGGCTCCGGCTTGGGTCAGCGCACGCTGCCCTGACTCGGCTACCTCACGTTACCGGGGCCCTGACTTTGGGCGTGGTCCACCGCACCACCTAACAGGCGTGTTCGAAACCGCAGGAGCTGATGATGAACGGGTTTATCGAAACTTGATTGGATGAGCATATCGGTAATAGCGATTTCAGTGTGTGCATTTATTGTTCATAGTGGTGTGAAATGTGGTTGGGGTACGACCGACAACCCGTCGGGGCGAATTTCGCACTGGGGTACTCAAAATTTGAAGAATTTAAGACGTTTCCATGAGTTTTGAAGGTATGGATAAGTTCTAAAAATCCGGTTCTCCTTATCTGGGCCATTAACTCCATACGGTCCAAGAAAGCTGGCACACTACCTTTAAGTATAAATAATAAATGCCATCGGAATGGCTTGTCCAAATTACCACTAAATGATACGTATACAAACTCAAGATTGCCGGTAAACGTAATAGGAAAGGAATGTTGAAAGCAAAACGCGACCCATGTTTCGCTCTGGAATTATACGCAATAACGCAAGAGTGACTTAACGTTGCATGGTATCAGTGGCGGCAATTTCCTGCATGGCACCAGAGCCAGCGTACTGGTCAGAGGCTCGGGGGCTAACATGGACGCTATTCACACAAGTCCGAATAGCGAGGCACGCTCCCCACCATTCCACTTAATTTTTAAACCTACCCATCGGGAGCCGTCAAACGCTTTTGATTGCACCATAGTAAAATTACATATGCACTGCCCCAAGAGGCAATATTTCATGAATTGCGTCCATGCCCCATGCAATACGTTCCAATATTACATCAGGGCCGAGGCAAATTCGTGCATTTTCTCTTAATATGCAACATAAGTATATTTCTAATTCTACCGTACCGGAACAGCCAATTATTTATTTAGCCTCAAAGGCGACTGTTATAGACCGGTTAACGCAGGAACTATATCTGTGCGAAAATTCACTCCGGTGGCCAACAACGCTCAGAGGGCCCCAGTGTCAGCAGGATACACTGTATACTAGAACTGGGAAACAGAGCAGAAAAAAAAACGGAGGTCGTAATGTGGAGCGAAGCCGAACGCACCCGTATGTAAAGCTGCGCTCCGAATGACAGTCTCAGGATCACGCACCCCTCCCCCCCCCACACACACACTGTGACAGTGACGAGGCGGATGGGTGGGGCCAACCCGGTTTTCCACCGATCGAATGACAGCGTGTCAGCACGTTCGATCGAAATAGCACGGCGTTCAGCGAACATAACTCCCCAACGTCGGGCGCCAGACGACCAACATTTCGTGTGGAGTTGTAAAGTCAGAACGGCGAGCGGTACAGCCAACGTGGCTCCAAGGCCCTATGTAGCGTGGCCCTCTCTCAAGTCCCAACCATACGCACACAGCCGTGTGTGCAAGCCAACTGCACAGTCACCACCAGGCGAGTGTTCATGGCCTTGGCAACCACAGCGAACGCCGGAGGTCGCTCACACAACGCGAGCCGTTTGCGGAATGCGGTGTGGCGAGGTGGAGTGATGACTGAACCGACACTAACCCGACATTCATTTCGGTACGCTGCACCTTATATCAGCCAGATAACAAGCGATGGTGGATAGAGTTGTTGACTTGAGACAGCCCGGATCGAAGGAGAAAATCATAAATCGAAGAAAAAATCATAAATCGTACTCGATAAATCCTGTAAAAGCACCTATGGCCTTGAAGAATAGCGACAGTTCTTCCTAGTCGAGTGAAGCGATGAAAAAGAGGCGAAGATTGGGATCAGAAGCCGCGTGCGACGACGCTTGAAACGACAGATTTGCGTGGAAGAGCTCGACAACATCATCAAGCCATACCGTTACTAACTACGAAAAAAGCTAATACGACGGGCAGATCTTAGTCATCCAGCAAACGTAAAGGAAGGAACGAAATAAGATGCAACAAACATGCGAGCAGTTGAAGTCATAAGCGGAAACCGAGAAACAGAAATTGCCTCGTCAATTTTAACTTTTCGGGTGCTGGGTTAGGGTGAGTTCGATCTATCTATGGTGCTGCAAACCTGTTCACCACGTGTTATTAGACCAAAACAGACCGTTAAATCGTGTGTAAGCCATTTACATCGAACGTCAAGCGACACGACGTATGACGTTCCGCACCTGGCTGGGCCGTTCGGCTATCCTGACTACCCCCGTGATTGTCGGAGAGTGAACACTGGACAGGGACAGCGGACCGCAGGGGAAGCGGACCGGCAGACAGCGGACACCAAGGACAGCGGAAATCAAGGACGGCGGAATTCAAGGACAGCGGAAATCAGGGACAGCGGCCACCAGGGGAATGTGACAATAAGGAAATCGAATAGGGGAAGCGGAGTACGAGATGGAATAGCTGAAAACGGACACCGGACAGCCTTCTCTCCACACTGGCCGGCGAGCAAATGTTGGCAATCATCCTGCCATAATACAATCCGCTGACTGCCCGGGATGGGGGGGGGGGGGGAGCACGGACGAACAGGGCCGTTTCACGGGCCGTCGCTACCCGCCACTACCAGGGAATGGCGCTTCGGTTCTCCTGAAAATGTTAACAGATTTGGCAAGTTCAACGACATTTCCATGGAAACCCAAGCACCAATACCTGGTAGAGGCGGGTATCAGCGTGCCGTGAAACATGACAGTGGAAATAAGACCAGAGGATCACATTGGGGGGGGGGGGGGGGATAGTCTCTGGATGGTCACTATCACTACACCTGCCCGATATCTACACGTGTCGCCGAGGCTAGTTAAGAGGGGCAGACGAAGATGCCTCACCGCCGCCGGTGTGGATTGTCTGGCCACACTCACCGCCACCATATTGAGTGCGAACCCGACCGAGTAGAGTACGGTGGACGAGATGGTACCGTGGTGGTACGGGTACCGGATCGACTCATTGTCACAGTAGAAGCCGCGCTCGAACGGCCGGCCGGCCAGGTAAAACGCTAGCACAGAGAAGCCCACTGAAATAGACAGACGGGACGGAGCCGGGTCATAGCTGCGTGCTCCTCTGTCCGGCGCCCGGAGGCAACGGCCGAGGCAGGAGAGGCAGTCGGAGACAGGGCGGCGCCCGCCGACGGACTGGGACAAGAGTGAGTCGTCCGAGACAGCACAGCGGAGGCACCGACTCGGGCATGGCGACTCGCTAGATGGGCCGTCAAAGCAGGCCAAGCATACAAACGCGCCAAGAGAGATTCTGGTATAAAAACAGATCATTAAGCCTCAGCGCCTCTAAACGCACTCGTTCTTTTCCAGCGTGTATCGGTGGAGTATATGCATACATATTATTCCTACTCGGTTTTAATATGCAACCTCACCTAGAATGCTGCCATCTTAAAATGTTCAGGTTGTCAGCAAATGAGCATAAACTTTCAAATGATCAATTCTTCAAACCTACGCTAATTGTGAGCATTGACAGACTGATGACGTGCATGAAAACTGGTTTAAAAACTACCTAGTTTTTTACTGCCTATGTACGGCTACTACCTACTGCTAAAACACCAGAGGGATAGTTAATAGGAAGACTCGCTATCAGCAACACCCAAAACACACATAATCCAGTGCACTCTGTCAGCGCTAGCCAACATCCCCCGTAGTGACAGATCACAGAGTAAGCGTGCACTCAGTGCAGCCGCTGTCCTCCGCTCCAAACAAACAGACATCGGTCTGCAACACTCGATGAACAGGAGAGTGCCAAAGAGATGAGCACGGCAGCAGGCTACACAACCCTGTCCTGACCGCTTCCATGCACTCAAATCGCAACGGGAAGTTTCCTCGGCGCAAAAGCCACCCAAAAGGACAGCCCCTCACAGAAGAATGAGAATGTGATAGAATCCATACGCTTTATGGAATAAGATTCAGCCCCCGGTGGAATCGTATGCAGAGGTGTGCAGTGGGCACGCCCACTCGATTCACGTTGAAAGTTTTACAGAGCCCAAAAACAAAGTTAATTTACTTTAACCATCACCACTGCATGGTGGACAGAGGCTGTAAATGTGAACGGCTCGTAGAAGAGAAATCGCGAAAGATTTTGTTAGTTCGTCAGCATTTCAGTTTGGCAAAATGCCGACACATGCCAGGCCAATGTGTCGCTCATGTTAGCCAGTGAAGGCGTTATTTACACATGTGGGCTCGCATGGCAAGGAGGCGACGTCAACTTACCAGAGTGATGGGAAGGATGGCACCCACTACATAGAGAGCGGCGTCTGTTACTGTGTCTTTGGCAATATACGGATATCGGATCGAGAGGTCATCGCAAAACAGCCCGGTCTGAGGCGGCGGCACCCGGTTGTAACCGCCTATGCTGCCGAACACTGCGAAAAGGACAAGGCGATTTTCTATTCATGAAACGGCGACGCCCTCGCTGATCGCTATCGTCGAGAACAGTCGAGACAGACTGTGCTTTTGGGGACTCGATTAATATGTTTGTAGCAAACGAAACGACAAGTAAACGATGGATGGCGATACACACATCCGTCAAAGCCCCTAAATCCCGTAAGACATTAGACATGCTCATTGAATGACATACTCATTATTATCTTTAATCTTAGCTGAGTTCGGATCAATGACCGTTCATTTGTTCATTAACATTGACAAATAGACATACAACTGCTTCTTATTAGTATAATATCAACGATGACAAGCAAGCATTGTGTCGATATATTAGAGTTAGTGAAGGTCGAAAGATCGTTTGCAGGTTGCACCTCCGATGATTTCGTAGCTCCGCAACTGGCCTTACCGGCCTTACCCGAGGCCAGTTATACTCCAAACAGAATACCTAACCGACGGCGATTGCTCTTTGGTTAGCTGGCCTTCGATTACTCTCTTTTCAAAGATGCGGATAAAATTAGCCAGACTACTGAACGCTTTACCTCATACGGCTTTTGCCTTAACCTCTATCACATAATTAAATAACTCAGGGACTACATTCACCTCACCCTCCCTTTGACTCAGTAATTGTAAAAAAATATGTGTTAGTAATTGTAAAAATATGTGTTGCCATTCCACATCAAGCAGCGTCAATATTCCATTGTTACTCTATTCCATGTCTATTCATGAGAATCTATTTTGCTTGATTTCATTCTATTTGGAACCATAGCAGTCTATTTTTAACAAATGCGGCCAATATTTCCAAACAGCTTCGGTCTTGTAATACAATATGCTGGCTAAGGCGGCCCGAAGATAGCATCCCTCATTGCGTCAATATTTTGCTTTGAAAGCATGTCTAGAACCAATGTTCTTGTTTACATTGAAATTTGAATGACTGCCAAATATAGTGGTCAGCATGTCATGCATTTCAGTTACAAAAATTATGCGATGCATAAAATGATGCTCAAAAGATGTACTCCATCTACACCAAAATAAAACACACACAACTTGAGCAGGAAATATATAAATTCCTATCATACAGTAAGGTAGGTAATTGAAACGCCAAAAATGTATGCTGATAAATGACTCAGACATACTCGTAAGATATACCATCATAACAGATGACACACGTTACAGGCATAGCAGAACGCCACAGCACGGTAACGAACGAGCACGGTCCACTTACCTATGAGAAGACAAGCAACATCAAATGATATGCGCCACGCCCATTGTTTGTTGCTCTTAGGCATGGCTCTTGAAATTTTTCAGCCTGGTGTTAAGAACAGCTTCTGCGTGGTACCTGGGAACAAGAGCAGAAGAGTGAGAGTGAAAAGTGAAAGAAGAGTGAATAAAGAAGGATTCAACCACAAAAATTGTACTTCAATTCAAGTAGGTACACCAATGGTGCTTGATCAATGATCTGAGGGTTGTCCTCCCAGATAAAGGACTTGTCACAGTTTATCTAAGGCTGAAGCAGCACAATGGACAATATTGCAATATTTGGTTAATGCATCATGCATGTGAAGAAGAAATCATGAAACATATGAAACAGATATAGGATAAGGGAGGGAATGGATATAATTTAAAGGTAGTCAAGACTCCAGAGTAACTAAAGACAAAGTAATTGAAGCAAGCATGTACGACTTCCTGCGCACCAAAAACACCAGTGGCTAAGAGGACTAGAATTAACCAAAGTACAAATTAAGAGTATCTAAGAATTAGCCACCCAATTGTAAAATGTTCATATCAATCAAATTTTCAGTCACTGAAGTTAGCTCAGCATGAAAAAGGGTATTAACCCTCGCAATTATAGGGGGTCGAACTGACCCAAGATTACTCTACTGCTCGAACTGACCCTCCCCTCGGCCGATTTTTCGCGAAAACCTCGCGTAAAAACGGCCGATCGCGACGAAACTTGTGGTGCCCTCGAGTTGTTCAATTTTACACATACACGAAAAATTTATTGAACCTGACTCAAATGACCTTTGATATGTGACCTACCTACTTCTCGAGAGCATGTTTGGCCGGAATCGCAATTCGCCGTGTGTCGGCTCACATTATCCGCGCGCTTGAAGTCTTTTTGTGGTTTTAAACGCTCAAACATGTCAAATGATGTTGGTCCCATACATTTTGCTGGGTGCCAAGGTCACGTGCAGGTCAGGTCAGGTCATTGACCTTTGATGACCTTGGTTCAATTTTTCCAGTTTTACAGGTTTCTAGCTTCTAGGCTAGTTTTTGGAGCTGATTTCGAATTTAGAACCCATGACGAAGTAGTTTTGGTGCCTTCGTAACATCCTACGAAGCTGCCGGTGGTGGCTGACACCTACTACGAGTACCCGGAAGGACCCCTACTGGTTGACCTGACCTGACCTGACCCGATCTGGCCTCATTGCATAAAGACATAATCTGTGATCAGACCTAACTGTAACTTGAAATTCATGATCAGCACAAAAACTCATTCCAACCTCACTTCACGAAGTTCTGGCAGGTCCCGATTTTCCCGACTTTTGGGTCATTGCCCTGACCTGGAAGGTCAACCAGTAACCTAGGATCTTAACTCTCGCCCGTATTGGTGTTTTTCCAGCCGCGAACGTATAAGGGGGGGGGGGTCCTTTGACCCCCTCCCCTTGCCGTTTCGCCCCTGATCGAGCTAGAGCTTCGCGGAAAAAACGAGCGTGTTGCCCGTGACGAGAGGAAGCCGATGGCACCCAACTTTATGGTTCTAGGTCATTGGTTTACCTTCAAGGGCAGGTCAATGACCCAAAAGTCGTGAAAATCGGGACCTGTTAGAACGTCGTAAAGTGTGGCTGCTATGGAGTATTTCGGGGTGTTGATCACGAATACCATATTAGTTTTGATCACAGATGATGTCTTCATGCATTTAGGCCAGGTCGGGTCAGGTCAGGTCAGGTCAACCAGTAGGGGTACCACCGGGTATTCGTAGTAGGTGTCAACCGCCTCTGACAGCTTCGTAACATGTTACGAAGGCACCAAAACTAGGTACTTCGTAAATGTTCATATGGTTGCTAAATTCAATTTCAGCTAAAAAACTGGCCTAGAAACATGTAAAACTCGAAAAAATTAGCCAAGGTCATCAAAGAACAGTGACCTGACCTGACCTTCAGGTGACCTTGACGCCCACCCTCATACATGGGAGCAGCATCCTATCACATGTCTGAACACTTGGAATTACGAAAAGACTGCAAACGCGCGGTTAAAATGCGAGCCGACATACGCCGAATCGCGATTCCGGCCAAACATGGTCTCGAAAAAAGGTCACAGGGTCAAAGGTCATTTGGGTCACGGTCATGAAATTTTCAGGGTAGGTGTAAAATTGATTGACGTGAAAGTACTGAGAGTTTCGTCGCGATCGGCCGCTTTTTACGTGAGTTATTCGCGAAAAACCGAGGGGGGGGGGGTCCGTTCGACCCCCCCCCCCCAGACGGGCGAGGGTTAAAATTGGATATCAACGGCTTCCTCTCACCACGGGCAGCACGCTCGTTTCTTCCGCGAAGCTCTAGCTCGTTGAGGGGCCGAACGGCAAGGAGGGGATCCAACGGACCTCCACCCCCCCCCCTTTCCGTTACGTTCGCGGCTGGCAAAACACCAATACGGGCGAGGGTTAAAGCTAGCCACTGGCAGCCAGGGAAGATTGCACATATCCTAATTATTTTGTAGTTAATATTTAATTTGTAGTAGGTGTTTATGGAAAGATCTTATATCCTTTTATTGACCATTTGAATTCCCCAGCAGGGCTATGCTGTGTGAATCTTGAGTGATGCTGCCTGACAGATTTTGCACTAAGCAGCAAACAGTGTAGATATTATTCAGTGTGATATTCTGAACTAGGGCACTGGCATGGTACTGACCAGTGCCCAATATTCTAAGCTTGCAGTGTGCAAAATTGTAAAGTTACTGTTACCTGGACTTTCTTTTTGGACTTGGAATACTGGAGTTTATGAAAACTTGAATAAACTTTATATCTTCTTTCTGGCCAGACTGTATGGCACTGGAACAGAGCTGACATGCCACACCAGCCACAGTGTTGTAGGACCTTTCCTGGCGCCAGGCAGGTCAACATATTTTGTTCTCTTTAACAAATAAATGGTAATTCAGCTGCCAGCACTCCCAAGTCTTTAAAGTTTTCATGCTATAATGTGATGCATCCAAGTCAACATTCCACGCCCACATCATTCTTTGATGTTGCAGCCCATGGACATGAAATATTGATGAGTATTACTGAAACTGAGGTCCAAATGGGTTCGCAATGATACATTTTCATTTCCATGTCTTGAACCTAAAAATGATAATAATCAGCAAACATGACAATCCATTATTAACTCAACCAAATCCAAGCCTAACCTGACCCAGCCTAGTCTCCTGTCAGAGGAACATATGTGTCAAGTGTAGGTAGGTGTAGGGATGGGTAGGGCTAGGTTAGATTAGGATGGGTTAGGTTAGTAAGACTGGGTCATGCAGCCTCATCTCAATGAATTACCTGATTAAATTTGCTGCATTAACAAGGATCATTTACAGATTTAGTAGGAATAAAAAAGTCAGTTGAACTCCAGCATCAATTTTAATTTTTTACCCTTGATTTGGCAGGTACTTCCCCCTCCAGCTATATTTTATCCTCAGGTACAGTGCCAAGTTTGAAAATGGAAATGAAAACTCCAGCACTGAGCATGGGTGGCAATAACAACTGCTCCTCCCATACTAATTACCAAGAGTGTAGTGGCACATATTTTTATTGGACAACACTGCACCAGAACAGCAGCTCAACAAGAAATATGTTATGAGAATAGGTGTCAATTTCTGCCAAGTTGAGGGTGCTTAAGCATTAAAAATTCACCAACATCTTAGTGCACCAAGGAGGGAGAACTTAAGTGACACTATCTGGTGCAGCCCCAAAGTCCAAAATTAAGGCAGACACAGAATTGGGAGAGCTCCTGCATCTTCAGAATTCACTCGACAGAAATTGACACACGATTACGAGCCACAATACTCAATGCCAAATGCACAACACTGAACACACCACATAGCAGAAGAATTTGCATTGGAATGAACAAATGACAACATTTCATTTTAGCAGTCTGACCACCCTGGCAATCATTTTCAGAATCCATCAGCACCAGGCACCAACCGGCAAGGCTACAAAACGTGGCAGGGTTCGACGAGATCTCGTCGGGGCAGACACAGTGGGGCAGGGGCAGAAATCGGGGCAGCTTTTGAGAAGTTGGGGCAGAGTTCGGCTATTCCGGGGCCGGGGCGGGGCGCACGGTACCGGGATAAAATAGTAAAGAAGCGGAGTATTGTTGAAACGCGCGAGAAAAAGTGGGCTGCGCCACAATCGCCGCTAACGCGCAGAAATTGTCATTTGAAACTGCTGCCATATTCAAATTTCCCTTCATCACGGCTATGAATGTTTTCCGCGCCGTGTTTCGTATTACGTTTATATACTTAGCTTCAAATTCAAATTCAGATTCGAAATTCATATTCGATGGAAAAAATGATAAAAACGGACCCCTTAGAATCTCACCAAATTTACAACAGCCACTCAGCATGACCTGGTCATCACAGAATAAAATTATCTAAGCTCGGCAAGCCCTGGGGGCTGAGATATCAGGGGTCAAAGTTCAAGGTCATTGAGGGCGGACCCCTCAGAATTACCTCAAAATTTGCACACAGATGCAAGTTGACCTGCTGAGCACGATGGGCATAAAATCTAAGCCCGGCAAGCCCTGACCTGGAAGTTAGGTCAGGTCAAAGTTTGCAGCCACGTGGAGGTCACGTGACCCTTTTACAGCGGACCCCTCAGATTTTAATGAAATTTTGTGAGCTGATGCATCTAGACACCCTTATTAATATCCTAAATTATCTAAGTTCGGCAAGCTCTGGGGGCTGAGATATGAGGGGTCAAAGGTCAAGGTCATTTGAGAGCGGACCCCTTCAATTTTTGTTAAAATTCAAATCACCCCTCAACTTTGTCTTCTGAATTTAATGGTAAAATTTTCTAAGCTCGGCAAGCCTTAGAAAAGCCAGAATGAGTATTTAGAAAAACGAGCATTTGTTTTCCAATATGGCTGACAGGCAGGTATTGTGGCGCATCAATGACATAATTGACGCGTGTAAATAGGCACCGCGCCATATTCATTTTATTTTGTAGTGTAGGCCCATGGGTTCCATGGTGTAGGTAAGGGTAAATCTTGGGTAAGGGCCTTGGGTAAGGGTATATAGAGCCTTGAGTGTAGGTATATACATATAACATATTGATATAACATGCCGTGGTGTGTAAGTTAA